TGTGTGTGTGTGTGTGTGTGTGTGTGTGTGTGTGTGTGTGTGTGTGTATGTGCGTGTGCGCGTGCGTATGTGTGTGTGTGCGTATGTGTGTGTGTGCGTGTGTGTGCGCACATGCATGTGTGTGTGACTAAGACAGTGTGTATGGAGGGGTGGGGAGAGATGCTGTCAGAGGCTCTTTTTTTCCCTGCAGGGCTTGGGGCTCCCCAGCCCTCTCCTCCAAGGACCTCTGCGAGCTGCTCCCATCCTGGTTCCTTCCCACACACCACAGCACCACCTTCCCCCAGGATCTCCAGCCAGCCTGGGTCCCTCTGATTCTCAGCCCTGTCCCCACATCTGGCTGTGACCCTGCTTGAGCTATGTTTTTTCTTTCCCCTAAGCGAGTACTAATTCCGCTCCAGTCATTCCCTTACCGTTTGCACGCTAGAGGTTAACACAGCTTCATGCCCGCCATGTTACTGTTGTTTACTCAATGCCTTTTCTTTAAATGATCTCTTTCCTTTCCTCCCTTCCTCCCTTGCAGTTGAAGAAATAACAGGTGAAAGGTAACTGCAGCCTAATAATTCCTTATCCACAATTCTGAAATCCAAAAAGCCTGAAAACGAAGACTTTTCATAACCCACGTGGAAGCCAAGCCCACCCTAAAGGGATGGGAAGGTGTTTAAGGTGTTTATCTCACTTAGTGTGAATATCCAATCATCTCCCAGCAGAAACAGCAATGCTTCAGAGCCTGATGCGCCACTGGGAGCCCTGCCAAAGCCCAGCAAATGCTCGACTCCACTCCTGTCTGTCCAAGGTGTGTTGCATAAAAGGATGTAGTTATTTGTTAAGGTTTTTGTTTGATTTATGACTCTGCATCAAAAGTGTTGGCTCCCTGAAGAGAACACAGACCACAGCCAAACTTCCTGCTCTGAGTCCTCCATATCCAGGTACACAGCCGGAGGACTCAGGCTGTGTACATCCAGATCCAGGTACACAGCCGGTGCTCAACATATGCTCACGTGCACCATGTCCACGTACCTGAGTGGGGCTCGCTGCTTCTTCTCCCAGCTCCGCAGCTCCTCAGCGGGCTTGGTCTCTGCTCGGGGCCTCGTGCTCTGCAGGTCTGAGTCCGGCCGAGAAGCACAAGGGACACCAGGTGAGCTGCCTGTTCCCACCCTGCCCGGGGGCTGCCTGATATGCAGCTGCTTTGCAAGGCCACTGTGAGAGGGTTCCCCGAGCTGGGGCTAAATAAAGAGCTCTCATAGCTATCTGCCCAGGTCATGTCCCCATCTAGCCTCACCTCCTCCTCAGACTCCCCCTCCAGCCTCACCTCCTCCCCCTCCAGCCTCATCTCCTCCCGGCTGGCCTCACCTCTTCCCCCACCAGCCTCACCTCCTACCAGCTGGCCTCACCTCCTCCCGGCTGGCCTCACCTCCTCCACCTCCAGCCTCACCTCCTCCCGGCTGGCCTCACCTCCTCCCCCACCAGCCTCACCTCCTCCCCAGACTCCCCCTCCAACCTCACCTCCTCCCGGCTGGCCTCAAGGCTTGCAGATGCCATGCTGCCCACAACACCAGCATTTGCTCCAGCTGCATGGCTCTGCCTATGCAAGGCCTCTAACCCGGAATCCCTTCCCTCCTCTTCCCACCCTTCCTCCTACCACTTCAAGGACCCTTTTGAACCCCACCTGTCCACAAAGCAGCTGCCCCAGAAAGCCCACAGGGAGGGAGCTGGCCCTTCCAGGCAGGGGCTGGTCCTTCCTGAGAGATGGGAGGACCTTGTTTCCCAGGCTCAGCCCTGCAGCCCCTCACCGGCCTGATTGACAAGGACGCTCCTCTTGCTCTGGCTGCCATCGGGGGCCACAGTGAGCTTCACCCGCAGCATCTTGCTCGATGTTGGGGAGTGGTTGACGGAGGAGTCCACCACCTCATAGATGGTGTGCAGCAAGCTGGTGATGTCCTGAATGGGAGGGAAGCGGAAACCCATGCGGGGTTGCAGTCACAGGGTCTTGAAAATAGAAACTAGAGGGCCTGGTGGCTGCTGCAGGCCTGAATCCCTCCGGCTGCCCCATAGCAGAGCCTAAGGCAAAAACCTGGATGTCTGAGGTTCATTTGGGAGGAGATCCTAGGAAGCAGAAGTGAGGGAGCAGGGAGAGAGAAGAGGAAAAACCCGCAAGAGAAAAGAAAAAGAGCAGGTTACAGCCAGGGGCAACTGGGGCTCAGTCGCACTTGGGCCCTTGAGGGAGACTGTAGAGTCCATCTTGGAACAGCCTCATTCAGACAGAGGGGGGGTTAGGAATGGACTCTCGTTCCTCACTGCCTGAGAGCTCCCCAAGGATGCTACATTCCCTGTATTTTGGATTTTTGTTTGAGATGCGTTCTCACTCTGTCACCCAGGTGGGAATGCAGGGGTGTGATCATGGCTCACTGAAGCCTCAAACTCCCGGTCTCAAGTGATTCTCCTGCCTCAGCCTCCCTAAGTGCTGGGATTACAGGCATGAGCCATAAGCCACTGTGCCCCACCCTCCCTTGTGCTTTTGGGCTCCCCTGCAAGGGCCAAGCCAGCTCCCTGTACCTGAGAAGGCTCTTACAGTGGGCACCATCTACCATGGCAGCAGGTGAACTTCGAGGTAGGCCCAGGGAAAACTAGGTGGGGACATCAACAGCATCTGCTTCGGGTTTGAAATGAAAAATGGAAAGGGAGGCGTGTCCCTGCTATGGGCTGAATTGTGGCTCCCCATTCACCTGCAAGTCCATAGGTTGAAGCCCTAAATCCCACTGTGACTGTATTTGGAGGAAGGAGATAATTAGGCTTAAACGAGGTCATGAAGGTGGGATTGTGATAGGATCAGGGCCCTTAGAAGGAGAGGAGAGGCTAGGGATATGGCTCACACCTGAATTCCCAGCACTTTGGGAGGCTAAGGTGGGAGGATCACTTCAGCCCAGAAGTTCAAGACCAGCCTAGGCAACATAACATTCTCTACAAAAATTTTTTTGAAAAATAGGCATGTGTGGTGGTGCACAGCTGTAGTCCCAGCTACTTGGGAGGCTGAGGTGGGAGAATCACTTGAGCTTAGAAGTTTGAGGCTGCAGTTAGCCATGAGAGTACCACTGCACTCCAGCCTGGGCAACAGTGCAAGATTCCATCTCTTGTAAAAAAAAAAAAAAAAAAAAAAAAAAGGAAGAGACACCAGAAGAAGTCTCTCTCTCTACCACATGAGGACACAGTGAGAAGGTGGCCGTCTGCAAGCCAGGAAGCGAGCCCTCAACAGGAACTGAAGCAGGTGGCACCTTGGAGGACTTCCAGCCTTCAGAACTGTGAGGAACAAATTTCTGCTCTCTAAGCCACCCAGTCTGTGGTATTTTGTTATGGCAACTTGAGTTGGCTGAGACCGTCCTAAAAGACAAACTAATCTGTGAGAACTTGACTGAATCTTATCTCCTCTCTGAGCCTCAAGTACCCCTCAACCAGAACAGGGGTGTCTACACAATGTTCCCTGGGTGTCCCACAGCCCTTCTAATTGGGGCTGGAGGGCACGGATTCCCCTCACTAGGCCCTTTCTTTCTGGGTACCTGCTGCGGTCACTTGTCTGGTGGCGGTGAGGGGGTAACGTCCTGCTTTAAATGGCATTGGAAACCTCTGGAGAAGACACTGTTTCTCTATCGATCAGGCCCATCCGTGGTCAGTTACCTGCCCCACCATCCTCCACCTCCTGCCTATAAGTCCCGCAGGCTGAAGTGGCTGAGGCAACCCCAGCGCAGCCCCAGCCAGGCATGGGTGGGTGGGTGGCCCAACATGGTAGGGGTGACAGAGGTGCTGGCCCTGTCCTAGGAGGTGCAGCCACACAGCTCAGCTGACCTGCCCTTTAACAATGCAGGGGGAGGGGGGAGTCACACAGAAAAGCCAGAAATCCAGGATTTTCTGTTACATCTTCAGAATCACTGATATTGGCAACTGACATTTAACAAAACCCTTTGGGGGACCAGAGCAGAGCATCTGGGGGCCAGACTGGAATTGTGGGAGCCACCAGTTTGAGACCCAGGCTCCAGGCACTCCCTATCTGGCTTGCTCAGCGATCCCACCTCTTCCTGCGAGGCCCGCAGAGGGCTCTCCTTCCTCCTTTCCTTCCCTCCGGCTTCTCCGTAAGGCCCTGTTTGCTCACTCTGTCTATCTTGGGCAGCCCATGACGGAGGCTTCATTACACAGATGAGGCGGCTGAGGGTCACTCACTTCATCCCCCAGATTTCTGATACCTTAGAGGACCTGGGGCCCTGGTGTGTGATCAGGGTTGAGGGTCCCAGCAGACTGAGGGTCTCGGAGCCTGTGTGCTTTGGCAATTCTAGGTTGAAAATCAACCCCACTGACTACACAGGGCCAGACACCCAGCAATCAGTGTGCTCAGTATTTCCCACATGAACAAACGCCTGAAGGAGAAGCAGGTACTTCTTTCTGAGTGGAAAGCTGGCCCACACCCGGGCTCCGGGCTGCAGATGCCGTGAGGTGGGAGCCCATCTGCCCTGGCACTCAGAAGGTGTGGAGAGGAACCGTATTTACAGCCAGATTTGAGGAATGGCATCAGGGCTAAAAATGGACCAGGGAGACACCAGGCGGTCCTCCCTCCACTCAAAACCACCCCCTGGCTCCTCAGCAGGAAGAAGACATGACCCAGGGAACGCTTTCCCCAGGGCCAGGCCTCCCTCTCATTCCCAAGGCAGCGAAGGAGGGTGCAGGTTGAAGCTGTCAGCAGTCATCTTGCTGCTGCCAAGGGGAGAGTCTGCCTCACAAGAAGGGAAATGGAGCTGAGGAAATAGAGCCGTGATGAATACTAGTCCTGAAGCCACTGAGCCTCTGGGTCAAGCCATGCCTGAAGTCAGACCCCAAACCAAATTTCAGTTACATGAGCCAATCTAATCTATTCCTTTTTTTTTTTTTTTTTTTTTTTTGGATACAGCAGTTGTAGCATGTATTCTGTCACTTATATGTCAAAGAGTCCTGAGTACTTAAAAGTCACAACTTCCTCCTCCAGCCTGTTGGAACAGCCCCTAAACCACAGCCTGAGGAGGAGGTGACCTTGTTAACACAGAACTCCCATCTGGCAGCATAAAGGTGAATTTCTCCTGCACTATCACAGGGAAGAAAACACTCTGCCAGGGCCCGGGATGAGGAGAGCAGGCAACAAAGCCTCAATCCTTTCTGGAAACAGGAGGCATGCTGGACAAGAAGCAGGAGGAGCCCAGGCGTGTCATCCTGGGCCGACGTGCAGACACACGCAACCTCAGACCTGTAACAGGTCCCACACCTGCAGATGGGGGCCTCTCGGGGAGGGAGAGGTCGTCAGAGAGGGACAGGGAGGAAAAGGGATGAGGAAGCAGAAGGAAGGATACCAACCCCCCAGCAGTGCCCTCAGGACCTGAAATCAAATCCAGGTTGCCTGCCAGAAGACTGGCCCTGCCGGGTCCCCAGTCACAGCTGTCTCTCCTGCCGACCGGCCACCACAGCTGTCTCCTTCAGTTCCTTAAACACCCTGAGCCCCTGGCCTCGGTCTGCCCAGGAGCCCCCAAGGCTGTGCATGCCGTGTGGCTCAGCTCCCTTGCCGTCTCCTCCAGGAGGCCTCCCCTGGACCCTCCAGCCAGTCTCTGTCACAACACCCTGTTTATTTTTTTCACTGAACACATCGCCGCTCAGTTATCGTACAGCTGTTTGGATCTGCCTTTTGTCAGGATGTCAAAGCCCCAGGGTGAGGAGCTTGTCTGTGTGGTTCCCTGCTGTATCCTTGTGCTTAGTACCTAGGACCCTGTAGATGCACACACTCGTGCTCAGTGTGCAAAGACACAGGCAGGAAGGAGGCAGCTGCGGGAGGAGGGCCCTGAAGAGGGAGCAGCCTGCGGAGGGACGAGGAAGAAGGGGTTTGGGGTGAGGCCATGACCAGAGCTGTGACCGCAGAGCTGCTGGCGGGCCCTCAGCACTGGCGGTGCTCATTCCTGTAGCCTAAAGCGAGGTGCGGTGTGGCCTCTGTGTGCACCCACCGCCAAGCTCCTGGGCAGCATGGCTGAGTGAGGGAGGTAGCCTGCGGTGGTCCCAGCCCTGTCCCCCCAAGCTCTGGGAATGTGGAAAGAAGCAGGACAGGACTCAGTTGAGGCCTGGGGTCTTTCTCTCGGGAGGCCCTGGGGCTCTGTACCTGCCCCCGCTCCTTCTCCAGGAGGAGCAGCGCCTAAGCTGAGGGCAGGGGAGCTGCCCTCCCTCCCTGTCCTCTCTTCGCACTTGCCAGCAGCTCTGGGATACCCCTCCCAATCTCACGGGCACTCCCAGCAACTCCCCGGCTGTTACAGCCTTCCCTGAGGGGCAGGACCGATGCAGGGGTGAGAAGAGGCAGTGGCGGGGAGCTGTGCCCAGGCCCTGTGTCCACGGGCATGATACATGGCAAGAGGCCAGGCAGGTGCACTCACCTCTCGGGTGACCTTGCCATTGTTGTCAAAGTCGTACAGGGTGAAGGTCCACTCCTGCCGGCTGTCCTCCTCCACGGACACGTCACACTGGAGCTCCTGGATGCAGAGAGATGGGCGGGGCTGGTCCCCTATCTGTGGCAATGCTGACTGGGTGGTGGAGGTATGAGCCCAGAGGCCAGGCCAAGGGGCAGCCACCTGCCCTCTGCTCTCCCCAGACCTGGAGTGGACAGGGAGTACCTTGGCCAAGACAGAACTGGCCCAGGAAGGCAGCCAGGGGCTGGGCAGGGGTAGTTTGGCCCGGGGAGGGACGCCTGCAGGGGTGCCTGGCAGTCTGTGGGTCTTCAAAGACAAAGGAAACTCAGGGCAGTCTGAGAAGAGGCTCTGTGGCCTCAGAAAAGCTGAATTTGCACCAAGGGCAAGAAGCAACTAGAAGGCAAAGGAGCGGCAACTTGGAAGCTCCAGCCGGACCCCGGGGTAGGTGAGCACGTGCATGAGGGGCTCGGATGTTGGTCAGGCCCGGCCCCAGCCCCTACAAGGCCCTCCACAGCTGTGTGACCCTGGCCATGTCGCTGCCCTCCACTGTGCCTCAGTTTCTCCTGGTATAAATTGTGGAAAACGACGGACTCTCTCCGATAAGTTTGCTGGGAAGATGACATGGCCCCCAACACGCCCTCAGCCTGGCTGTTTCCCTGCAGCTGTGGTGGGGACAGTGCCTGACCTCCCGCCTCAGGTGCCCTTTTCTGTCTCAGGGCAGCCCTGAAGAGTCTCAGAAGGAATGCCCAGAGGAGACCAAACAAGGGAGGGACAGGAGGCAGTGGAAATGCCAAACCTCCTCACCCCTCCGTGGGACACATCTGAGCGCATGCTTACATGGGTCCTAGGAGGTTCTCCAGCTGGCAGAGCCCACGAGCAAACCCAGCCTTCGCTGGCTTCCCTCTTTCTTCACACCTGCACCGCGGGACCGCCTCCCCTATACACTGCCTGCTCCCAGGGCCATGTGGCCAGGTCTGCTTAGGAGAACGGAAACAGGAAGTGGAGTATACATGCTGGGGTCATTTACACCTGTGCTTGGAGCACTGCCTGGCACATAGAAAAGCTCAATCCATGGTAGTAGCTGTTAATTCTGCTGTAATGATAAACAGTCATTGAAATAATTATTTCAATCAATAATCAATGAAACAATCATTTCATTACTATTATTTTCAGCAACCTAAAGTGTCTGACCCCAGGGAATGTGAGCTGGGAAAGGGTGAGCTCGTCGCCGGAAGGCTGAGCACAGAGGCTAGCTGAGCGTCAGATGGACAGTCCTAGGGAGCATGCTGTTCAGCAGGAAAAGGTTCCACGAGTGGCCTTTCAGATCCACAAGATTTATGGAAACAAGACCATGCTGCTCCATGGCTTGCCAAACTCCACCTCTCCTTCCACCATCAGGAAGGTGGCACCAGGCTGGCCTGGCAGGAGGAAGAAGAGCGGAAGACACCTGCCTGTGGACGCTAGGGGAGTGAGCCCCAGCACGGTGTCCTGGTCCCGGCTGCAGCAGCTCCAAGCTGTTTCCCTCCAGCAATTCTTGGGCTCCCACGCTGAGTTCAAAGCCAACCTTGCCTAGGCCACACCCATCTGATACCTGCCAAGGGCCCTCGCTGCTCTCCGAGGCACTGTTTCATGCGCCATGACATACATGCCTGCATACTCACACCTACACACACACACATACACACACACACCTACACAGGCACACCCCTATACGTGCGCACCCTACACACACATGCCTGTACACACACACACACACACACACACACACACACACACACACACAGATACGTAGCATTTGGCTGTTTCAACGACACTTTGGGCCTGAGCTTCAGAAACATGAGTTGAGTAACTATGGCCACCTGCCCCACCTGTCAGATGCAGGTCTCCCAGGCCTCCCCACACTCCACGGGGCTTCTCAGGCGAGTCCTGCCCGTGGCCCACAGCTCCTGCTCCTCCAGAAGCAAGCACACTTGGGCTTCTAGGGAGGCAGGATGCCTGGGCCTGGGCTTCCTTCTGCCGCTGAGTTCGGCCCTGGAATTTGCCAAGCCCCCAGAAGACCCTACAAGGACCCGGGTGGGCTCAGGACGGGACTGGGTTCCAGGAAGAAGCTGGCAGCCCTAACTCCTCCTAGACGCTGCCTGTCCTCCCCAGGCAAGGCTTCAAGCCTCCTGGAGGCTGGAGAACACGCTGCGTGGTGTGGGCTGTGCAGGATAGTGGGGCATGGCGGGGAGATGACACTGGAAAGGGGGTAAGATCAGTCACCAGGGTCCCTGCACACAGGCCATCTCCTTCATGCCACACCATCCAGCACAGGCCACACCACGCCACTCACTGCCCCCACACAGCACGCTGGGACTTCAGCCCCAGGCCTTTGCTCCTGCAGTCCCCTCTGCCAGAAAGGCCCTTCTCACACCAAAGGCTCCTCTGTGCGCCTCTCTCCCAACTCCTCCCCCTACGCTCTGAGCCTCACCCACCTCCTCAACCTCCATCCACAGCCTTGGCTCCCTCCTCCAGGCACTGCACAGAGCCTGGAGATGCCAAGTGTCCGTTCCCCCACACCCCACTGCCTGACCCCACCCCAGGCTCCCGGACCTCATCACATCACCAACTGTACAGCCATTGGGTCCAGGGCACTCAACTGTCCCCTTGTCACACTGTGCACTCCTTGAGGGCAGGAACCACACCCAGTCTAAGCTGGGTCCCCTGGCAATTAGCCGGTACTAATCAACATTGGTCAGGAAGAGGGACATCCTCTTAAGCACTTTAGACGCATGAACTCATGATGCTGACCACAGCCCAATGTGACAGACATCACTACTACCCCCATCTTACAGGCGAGGCACGTGAGGCCATTGAGACTTGAGGGAACCGGCCCCAAAGTCACACAGCTACTAAGTGTACAGCCAGGATTTGGACCCAGGCCTGCTGACTCTAGAGCTATGCCCTGGTGGTCTCAGGAAGGCAGAGGGAAGGAGGGAGGGAGCAAGGAGGGCAGAGCAGCGGCGAGTTCCATGCAGCGGGCCTGGGCCTGGCTCTCAGTGCCAGGGACTGTGTTGAATGCGCAGGAGCGTGCTACACTGTCAGGTGGTGGGGAACAGACAGACTGTGAGCTCTGGGAGGCACATCCCTGGTGTTGACCACATGGGGAAGCTGAGGCCCTGCGAGCATCAGGGGCCTGCCTGTGCCTCCTGCTCGTCCATCCCACCTGAGAGCCCCCACAGGCTCCCCAGAACAGCCTCAAGAGTTGAAAGGGAAGTTTTCACCAAGGAAACTGAGGCCCAGAGAGGCGATAGCAGCAGCAGGGCCAGAGTCCTGCCTCCCTCAACCATTCTCATGCCCCCTCCCAGGCTGCTGGGCACACCCCGCGTGGAAGGACTGGGGCCGGGCTGAGGGGCGGGAAGCGGTAAGCTCCCGGGGTCTGCCCCATGCCAGGAAGGCCCCAGATGTGGCAGGAGGAACATCCCACAGAAGGCACTGTTCGTGCAGGGGAGGGGCCTCCCTGTCTGGAAGAACCCCAGCTTCCCTCCTCCCAAAGCACCAAGCCGAGAAAACCCAGGACCCAGCACCGAAAGGAAACTTACTTCAAACTTCAGCTGCTTCTTGGAGCCCGGGCAGGGTTGGCTCACTCGCTCCATCTTCTTCTCATCTCCACTGCCCAGCCCGTCGGTCTTCTCAGGAGGCAGGGCCACTGTTGGTGAGACAAGTGAGGGGACGTGAGGAGTGGGGTCCAGATGCAGGGCCACCATGCTCGCTGCACCTTCGTCCTCGGGGCCTGGCCTGGACATTCTCACCAGCGGGGCTGGACCGGATTCTGCCCTGCCTATTTGCTGGGGTCAACATCACACTACTCTGGCGCCTGGGGCGACCCCCACCACAGGGTGAGATGCCCCCCACACCAGCCTTCGACTTCTACGCCGCAGAGGCACTAAGCCACCCAGAGCAGTGTCGGGCCGGAGGGCAGATGGCCGAGAGTGGAGGAGTGCTTCTGGAGCCCCGCGAGGGGGCTGGAACTTCACAGTCTGCAGTCCCACTGCCTTCTGTGCTGACATTTTGGCCTCCCCAAAGGTGCCACCCACCTGGGCACAGGATACACACCTTGGTGGACGGCCAGGAGGAGTGCCAGTAACAGAGTTCAACTGGGTTGGCAAAGGTGTGCACACATGCACTGGTACACATACACATATGCACAAGCACACATGCACACACATACACATGTACACACACATGCACACATATGTACACTCATGCATCACACCTGCTCACACACATATGCACACTCACACATGCACGCATACTCACACACACACAAAAGGCATCTTCAGGGAACACACTCATCCTGAACCTTGTATTTGGCCTCTCTGGTCACCCCAGGTCCTTCCCTCTCTGCCAAAGGTCACAGTCCTATGTGTGGCCTTCCAGGAGCTATGGGAGGGTGACTGTGAAATTCTAGGACCTACCGACACTATTTTCCTGAGGACACCAGCTCAGGGTAGCACCATCGTCCTTGACCTAGAACCCAGACTACAAAGTGCCATCAGTTCTTGGAATGGCCCATAAGCCTTTTCTGCCTGTTTCATCTCGTCTGATAGAGGGGCTGGGATTTGCCGGGGACATCCTTTCCAGGCCACGCTCACAGCTTCTCTCATCCAATTCCCTTTGTTGCCTGGGGTAATAAATGTGTTGTCCTGTTTTGAAGGTGAAGAAACAGGCTGGCTCCTACTCCAAGAAGGGACCCTGCCCCCTCCACCCTGACCAAGGTTGGTTGGGGGGGTCATGTGAGGAGCTGAGATTCCCCAGTCAGAGAGGAAGGCAAGACAGGACTTTCTCGGGAAGTCAGCAGCCTGGAAAAATGAGGCCAGGCAACTAGATGGGCCTTTGTGTCTCTCCGATACCACACTCCCACCACACTCACCCACCCCAGCTTTGCAAGCAAGGGCCCAAGGGCAGTCCCTGGGCCAGGCGGAGTGGGGACGCCCCCAGTGGGCCCAGGCCTCAGCTCTCCTGCCCTGCTCCTGTCCTGTGGGATGGGAGCTCTCTCCTCTGCAGTTAGCTAAGGCACTTCCCCTGGTGCTCTTGTGCCTTGGCGCCGCTGTATGGAAAGATGAGGCAGCAATGACTAAGCACTTGCTGTTTACCAACTCTATCCTCATGCAGCCCTGTGAGGCAGTTAGCTCCATTTTCCAGATGGGAAAACTGAGGCTCAGAGAGGATAAGTGCCTCACTAGTAAATGACAGAGCTGGGATTTGAACCCAGGTAGCCTGAATCATGCTTACAGTCAGTCCACTAGCGGGAGACTCGGTGCCTCTCTCAGCCTGCCTCTCTCTGTCTAACGGAGGCCGGCCAGCCAGGGCAGTGGTCGTCTCCACCTGGGTTCTGTTCTCCGGCACTGTGTCACCCTGGGTGGGTCACGTACCTTCTCTAGATGTCTCAATTTTCCCCAACTGTAAAATGAAGAAACTACCAACCCCTCCCCCAGAGGATTCTTGTGTGGATGCAACAAGCTCTGTTCAGAAAGGGCTAAGACCCCAGCACACTAGGCCCAGCCGGAGTGGTGACAGTCAGGGGACCGACAGCCCCACTGCACTGACTCCTGGGAACAGGGCAGTTAGCAGCTAAGTTTTGTCAAAACTGAGGCTTCAGGAACGCAATAGACACAAAAGCATATCAAATACATACGGCCTGCATGGGCAGCTTTGGACATGGCCCTTGACTCCTCTGGACCTCAGGCCCCTCATCTGTAAAATGGGAGTATGATGGCCTCACCTTCACAGGGTTGTCGGGAGAGGACAATGAGGAGAGTGCTTACTGAACACAGTGGCCGAAACACAGTAAGTGCTCGAGAGATGCTGGCTTTGCCAAGGATGTTGATGGGCTGTGGTCCCAGCTCACAGCTCAGATCCCAAGCGTCCCCCTTGACCCCTGACTGCCCCACTGGAAAAACCAGAGTAATATCACCGCCTGCAGCAGCCTCTACCACCCCTCCCAGGCAGGGGGAAAAAAGAAAAAGAAGAAAGAAAAACAAAGCCCAGCTCCATCTTCAAAGCCACTGCATCTCTCTGCAGAGGTCCTGGCTGGAGATGCGAGCTGGCCAGGCTTATCGAAACCAAACTTCAAGTTCAAAGGGAAGCTATCAGAAAAGCACCTTCAGGTTCAATGTTGCCTTTCATGTTCCACTTGATAAAATCCAAAGAAAAGGAACCTCTGTCCCTGCTCTCTCCTTCTCTGGAGCACTCTTCCCCCGCCATGCACGGACAGCCTGTCTGCCCTCAGGTCCTCCCCTCTTCCTTCCTTTCTCCTCACCTGAGGGGCTGGAAAACATCTCCCTCAACCCCTCATACATCTTCTCCAAAAACCAGTGTGGCCCGGATTGTCCTCTCTTCACCAATGGCTCCCTCATCCCATCCCAGCTCAGAAAGACACCTGGACATCCACAGGTCAGCCAGCGGTCAGTGAACCTGCCAGGGGCCCCTCCCAGCATGGGGCCTGTGATCCGTGCTGCCCTGGGGCTGTGGGGGTCAGGAACGAGGACAGTCAGCACTCTCTATCCCCACCAAAGGAGGTCATTCACCCTCTTACTGTCCCTTGCCCAGTAGGTAGAACAGGTGGCAGAGAACCGGCCACAAAGACTCCAATGCCAGGGTCAAGGGCCAGGCCTCCTCCACATACGAACTCTCTGAAACCAAATTAAGTCAAGCTACCACGGCCCCCAGCGAGCCCTGTGCAAAAGAAACCACTCTCCAGCCATCAATGAGTACAGGCTCACTGGAGGTGGGAGACGGGGATGGGGACTGGTGCTCGCCGCAGGCCGCCCAGGCCCGCCAAGGGGGATTACAGTGATGCTATTTCTGTTGAGACCAGCTTTGGCACCACAGTCTGAGTCCATTCTCTGTCTCCAATTCCTGTTTAGCTCAGCCATTCTTCCCCCTGGGAAATGATCTTCTGGGGACCTAATTTCAGGAGGTGCTGATCACTCTTCAGTTGAAAGTCTGAGGAACTGTAGGGGAGACTGCTCATTTAGAAGAAAAAAGGAAGGCAGGGAACCAGGTGGGAAAAAAGGACTTTCACTTGCCTAAGGAGCACTTTTGGGTGACTGAGAGCAGGAGGTGGCAAACTACACTCAGTGAACCAAACCTGGCCCCCTGCCTGTTTTTGTCAATAAAGTTTTATTGAGAGTCGGTCATGCTCATTTGCATTGTCCATGGCTTCTTTCAGTGTATGACAGCAGAGTTGAACTGTCGCAACAGAGCCCACAAAACCTAAAATACATACTGTTTGGCCTTTCATGAAAAAGTCTGTGGATCAATCGCCGCTTTAGGTGTGTGCCACCCTCCACCTCCACCAGGATATGTGCTTGATGAGCAGGGCACAGACAATTTCACCTATTACTTGCCTACTTGGCTGGAAACCCTTGTGCAGTGCACAACCTGCCCAACCGTACAGTGACCATGGAAGAAAGAAACTATCAGCTCTGCTTTCTTAAAGCCTATTGTCAGCCCATATGAATCTGGGGGGTGGTAGTGGTTTGTGGAGCTCCTTCTCTTTGGAATCTGCTCCCTGTTCCCCCTCACACCACAGCCATGAGGAGTCAAGGAGTCGGCTTGCCGTGTTTACCAAATGACGGTTCTCTCCCTATTAGCTCCCAGCCTGGCAGCTCTCCACCCCCAGCAACTGCCAGATTAAATGCATTACTTGACCATCTTCACCCAGCTCCCTTTGATGTTCCCTTCTCAAGCTTCAAAATACCTTTTGGAGGGAGATCAGACAGCATTAAACAGAATTACTAATTAATTAAGCAAAGTTAAATTTTAAACACTGTTTGTTGTGTTAGCCAAAAGCCTGAACAGAACAGACTTTTTTCCTCCGCTGAGATCAAAGACAGTCTCTTCCCTCTCCCCTCCCCCAGTTTAAAAAAAAAGGGAGGGGTGGGGAGGAAGAGAGAGAGAAAGGAGAGAGTGAGGAAATACCTGAATGGTGACAACTTTGATCGTGGGTCTAGACGCCCCTCCCCACCTCCTCGTGGGCCCAATGGGAGGCTCCTTGGGGACCGCCTGCTGTGAGAGCCACAGTCACTCGGGACTGTTTACTCTGGCAAATGGCAGTGACCCAGAGAGCGGGATGGCACGGCCCACCCAGCCCAAGCTGCTGACAGCTGGCACCACCCAAACAGCAGAAGAAGGCCCGTGAAATAAAACAGACCCGCCCTCCTCACAGTCCCGTCGGGTGAGCTCCTCAGGGCTCTTCCCCTTGGTCTGGAGTCACTTGGGGTCACTGGGAGACCAGCTCCGAGAAGCAGGCTGTGCACTGTACAACCACAGGGGTGCCACCCACGTGACCCACACTCTAGATACGTGTGTTGCTTGTGACATCCTTTGGACAGAGGGCAGAAATGTGTCTTCAGGAGGGGCCACTTTTTTCTAATTTGCCCGAATGCATCCAGAGCTGGCAAGGTGCTGTCTCCCGCTGCCCAGTCTAGCACTTTATTCTGTACAGTCCTATCTGGGACCTTCTGATTGCTTCACAGGAGCCTCCACCTCTGCACAGCCAGAAAGCAAGTTTCATGAGCTCTGGGGCCCTCTAGGCTTCTGCTCCCAGGGTGCCCGATGCCTAGCACTTCCCATACGTGCAAAGAGCAGAGATTCCACCAGGCCCGCTGAAACGCAGCACATTCTATGGGTGGGCACAGGAAGCGTGCCTATATCTTGAATATGCCATACCTTCTGCCTTGATGGAGACTGGGAAGTGCCCTGGGGAAGCGGGGAGTTGACATTTAGGTGACAATCCAAACCTGGGACAATACTAACAAATGCCAGCTTCTCTTAACACAATCCAGAAAGGCCTGGTGTGCATGAGACTTGGAAAGAAGGGACAAATCTGAAACACAATTACAACTAAATCGGCCCCACTGAACACCAGAAATTACTAACGCTTCAAATGCATGGCAGACCCCTCTCTTAGCCTAGTTACCTGGCAAGTTCTCAGTGAATACAACGTAAGATTTAACACAAGCCAGAGCTTCCTTGCTGGAGTCGGGAGGCTCGCCCTGACATATCCACGGTCCTTTCTCAATTGTCCACGTACAGATTATCTGCTGCAAATATTTTAGTCTCAGCATTGCTTGCCAAGATGTTTGAGTCCGCAACCTTCTGACAGCAGCTGTTCAAGGGAATGCAGATGAATTTTAATATTAGCCTCTGCCAAATATAATTAGGTGGGTAAATCTGCTGCCAGTGAAAAGAGAAAGATATCATATGTGCATTCCAGGCCAAATGGTTTCTTGCAGTATCTGTATGAGGCTCTCCTTAGGGAATGAGGGTCCTAGCGATGCCACATCTGTTTGTAAACACAGCCACACACTTTGGCGGAATGTACAGAGAGGCTGGTGAAGTTAGTAGTACCACACACTATTCCATTACGTCCTCTAACACTGTGCAGGTTGTGCTACTGTTGGCATTGTACAAAAGAGGAAACTAAGCTTCTAAAGCAAAACTGATTACGCCATTCCCCTACTTAAACCCTCCAGTGGCCCTGTTTCCCCTAAGGAGGGATCCAAAGGCTTTCACGACCTGGCTGCTGCCGCCTCTCAGCCCCATCTCGCTGTGGAACTGCTGCCCTTTTTTGAGCCTGCCGTGCTCTCATGCTGTTATCCCTGCCAAGAACACTCTTTCCAGCTCTGCAATTCCCGCTCATCCTGCAGGTCTTCAGTTTAAGCCTCCCTTCCTCTGAGCAGCAAGCTCTCACACCCTCAGGGCTAGCTGAGGCTTCCCTGCTCAGCCAGGTTTATTATACCATTATTATATCACTCATTTAATCATCTGAATCTTCCATCAGTCCCATATATATACCCCGAGATATAGATATAGATAGATATAGATAGAGATATAAAATGCAGTGTCTATCACACTAAAGGTGCTACATCATCAGCGACATCATCAAAATGAAACAATGGTCAAGCAGCAGAATCAGGACTGGAACCCAGAAGTTGTGGAACAAAGAGAACGAAATCCCGGTTTCCCAACTCTTCAACCGCTGGCCTCTCCACTCTGTTCAGACCACAGTAGCTGACACCTGTTCCTGCCTGTTCAGCGACTCTCCTCCCTCTTTGGATAACAGCATCTGGCTTTCCTCCGCAGAGCCACTCACCCCCCTTTCAGCCTATGCAGTTTATGGAGACTGATCCCACCCCAGGGTCACGTTGCACTTAGTATCTCCACCTGACCCGACCTGTTTCATCCTGAAGGCCGTCTGGCAGGTCCTAGGTCAGTATGAACGGAGAGTTCATGGAGAAGCTAATGGAGCTAAGCTTCTGGGCCCTCTCACCTGCAGAGGTCCTTTCCAAGTCAGAACGGGTCTTTGCAAGGTGTTCATGTGTTCGTATGTGTTTGTATTTGGAACATTTTCTAAATTAGGCATTTCATCCTCAATCCATTAAGATTGTCGTCTCTATCCATTCTGATGTCCTGTCGCTGTGTCAGGCAATAGTGGGGAAATATAGGCATGTCTGGACCTGAACTAAGAAGAGACTGAGTTGGTGAGATATTTATTTTGGTTTAACCCCTGAAAGCCTCAGGTCCCACAAACATAGATCTACCCTGGTCACGTGACCAGTAAAGTGAGAGCCTGACATGGGCAAGAACCACTGTGATGGGAACTTCCTTCCACCTGAGAGGGCCGAGCTCAGAGGATGGGAGTGCCCAGAGCTGGGCACTGCCGCCCTTGCCACCTGTGGGGGAGAAGCTACTAGGGGACAGAGGGAGAGATGATGGAGAGGGACAGAGAGGGGCAGCGAGACAGACACGTGCATGTATGTGTGTGTGAGCGTGTGTGCACGTGTGTGTATGAGTGTGTGTGCGTGTGTCTCTGTGAGTGTGTGTGCGTGCACACGCAAGTGACCATGACATGGTTTCAGCTCCAGAATCCAACCAGGCCTTTTTAGGCAAGATCTACCCTAGGATTTTTCAATTTCATGAGCCTCAAAAGTTTTCATTAAACTCAAAAGTTTAAGTGAGTTTCCAAAAGGACCGAAAGAAATCTGACTTAATGAATCCATCTCTCTGAGATCCTGCTGTTTAGGAAAAACCACCAGCACCCAGCACCATGGCAGTAATTCACTCACCCAGGGCAGTGCCCTCTAGGGTGGTTTCCAGCTTTTTCACCAGTGGGTGTCTGCCCCTTCCGGAGACCAGAAATGCCCCAGGTCCTTCTTCTCTACCATCATGCCTCCCAGCTGCATTTTACTGCCACTAGATTTTGCTTATGGACCAGTTGTAACTGAGGGGAAACAAAAAGAAGAAAACGGCAGTGGGGGAGGAAATCCTTCCCAACAAATAACATTCTGGCCTTTTTTTTCTCATCAGAGCATAAGGCTGGTGGCCACTCGCTCTGAGATCTGAACAGGATTGAGACAAAACATCTGTTCAGGGAGGGAGGGGGAAGGCCCAGGAGAGAGAGAGAGGGGGAAAGGGGGGAAAAAGCCTTCAGTGGGCTAAAAATATCACGTCCCTTCCACTCTCCCCACCGTCCCCACCCAAGTTAAAACATGTGATGAAATTCAGCTTTTACAATCTAACCCCGAGCTACTTGAAACTATGAAAGCCTCTCCGGTATCTGACACAAGTCAGAATTTCCACTGTTCCAGCTGAGCTTTTATGAGGAGCAGACTTGAGAGAAACTGCCAAGGTAACAAAGTGCGCTTGTTCTCTGTCCCCGCTGCAGCTCAGCTTCTGGGGGGACTGCAGGGGAGTGGAGAGTCAGGGCCGCTGACACCCCCGACAGGATGGGCTCTGAACTGAGGAAGAGGAGCCAGTGGGACATGGGCACCTGCCCCTCCATGTGGGGGTACCCACTGCTCTCCCGTGAATACCCCTTCCTCCCAACCTTCCTAGGGAGCCATTGCCTGCCCTGCGTATCAAGGCGCCCTGCCTGGGCAACGCCCTGGCTACTTCTGAGAAGTCTTGACTCGCTCTCTCCATTTCTCACCCAACTGCTCTCTGAACCCCATGCTCCAATCACCAGCTATCCCACGGCCTCCTCGGCACCTCTCCTTGGATATTAAATGGGCATCTTGAACCCAACAGGTCCAAAAACGGGAGGCTTGATGATCACCCACCAAAACCTCCAGCGCAGAAGCAGCACCACCAAATCCTTAGTTCCTGAAGCCAAAGGTCTAAGATGCATCCCTGACCTCTGTTGTTCCCTCCACCCACTTCTCACCAGTCCCAGCCCCCGCCCCACAGACCTCTCCCAGCCCCAAGCTCCCAGGCTAGGTCAGCGCCGTCTCCTCTTACCTGACCCCTGCAATCGCCTCCTGGTTTCACTGCCCCCTTCCTCCCTGCCCATGGGCCGTCCCTTCCAGAAGCCAGAATTCACTTCCTAAAACAGAAGTCAGAATCCAGCAGTCCCCCACCCAACCCTCTCCAACCTAGGTGCGTGGCCCCACTCTTGCCCACTGCCCCACTCTCATTTCCGATGCCACATCGGCCTCCTTTCTGTTCTTCCCCAAACACCAAGTTCCCTCCACTCTGGGGATCCGCTCACGCCTCCTAGCTGCTCTCCCACTACATTCTCCCATGGCTGGCTCCTTCCTGGCACCTGCATCCCAGATGAAACATTGTCTTCTCAGAAAAGCCTCCTCACTGTACCTCTCCTTGGGCTCTTACCTCTTAGCAGAGCACCACTACCAGAAACCTCCATGCTCATTCGAGGGTTTATGTATTCATCCCTGCCTCCCTCCTGTGAATGTCGTGACAGCTGGGTCTGCCTACTTGCTACTTGCTCGTGCCTGTGAACCCAGAGCCCAGCAGAGTCCCTGGCTGTAGCAAATGCCCAGCACATACTGAATGATGAGGAGTGAGGGGCCAGATTCTGTTCTCAGTCTGCTGTGTGACCTTGGACAGGTCACTTTCCCTCTCTGGGCTTCAGTTTTCCAACCACAGATGAAAGGGACTACCGGCCTCCCAAGTCTCTTTGCCCAACATCTCACCCCTGGGAGCCTGGACGGACTGGCCCAGGCCCCAACACAGGTACATAGGACCTGCCTGAGAGGCCAGAGGGAGGCATCACCTGCGTTCAGTGACTGAAGGGTGTTGACGTTCCTTCTTCAGTGAGTGTTTATTTATTGAGCACATACAGCATGCCAGACCCTACTCCAAGCACCAGGAGTACGAGGAGCCTTTAGAGATTCTAATAGGATTAAAGAAGCTTTGCCAAGAGGCCTTCTTTGATCTGGGCTAGGTAAATGATTATAACACAGGCTGGCCCCTCTTCAAGAAAACTGAACCCAGGAAACAAGCATAATGGCAGCTCAAGTGTGCTGGCACTTACTGTGTACCAGGGCCGTCCTCGGGGCCCACATCCATCACCTCGCTGTCTTCACGATAACCCTGATGAAGAAGTGCTACGAGGAACCCAGTAACGAAGCTGAAGCGCAGAGAAGTGACTTGCCCAAGGTCACAGAGTGAGTGTGGGGGAGCTGGGCTGGAACAGGGTCTGAGTTGCAAACTCACAGGAAGTCAGAGTGAAGGGAGGACAGATGAGGAAGGCAACGTTGGGGGCCACGCAGAGCTGAACAGCTCCTGAGCTCCCAGAGGGCTGCTCAGCCCCCGCCAGGCCTCAGTCCTAGCACTGCTGCCCTGCTAGGCAGAACCAGCAACTCCAGGCACATTTCCCTTGGACTGGGGAAGCAGGGACCACCTGGGGAGGGCGGCAGGGCCAAAGCCAGGCCTGCCCTGGAAGCCGGGAGGGCCGGGTCTGGTCCTGAGGAGGAGGGGCTGCCTGACTTCAGTGGCTTCGAGCATCCCCTTTAGCAGGCAGGGCCAGCAGGCCGGACTGTGCCCTGCAGAGCGGGCTTCCTAGAGAAGATGCCGGGAAGCAGCGAGATAGGAACTAGGCACTTGAGAATGAGGAAAGGCAGCGGGCAAAGGCCCGGAGGTGGCACAGAGACGGCCAAGAAGCTGGGCAGGGCAGTGTTCACCAGGTGAGAGGCAGAGCGGACCTGGAGAGAGGGAGAGAAGAGGGGGGCGAGGCAGTGGCTGCAGCACCCTCGGACACAGTGACTCCCGGAGGCCATGCAGGGGAACGCGGCCTGGCACCCACTCCAAGCTGCAGGCTGCCACTACCTGGCACCATGCCCATCTGTGTGCGTTGGAGGTGAGCCTGGGGTCGCCCCTCCCCAGTCCTCAGACCCCAGCTGGGTCAGCTGAGGAGGGGTCCCTCTCCCCTTCTCCCCATGAAAGCCTCACCTCACCAGCCCTGCCACGCCCAGCCAGCTCTCAGAGCTTGGGACTTTTGATGTTTACTTTGTTCTTTCCCCAGTTCAAAAGGAGCTCTGCAGCCCTGGCCCTCGCACCAAGCCCAGCCTTAATCTCCCATCCCTCCCGCTCCCAGCTGGCCAGTTAAGGCGGTTAAGACGCTGGATTAGGGCCGGCTTTACATAACAACGCGGGAGCTAAAGCCATCCTCTCCTGGGATGGCTAAAAGACTTCTTTTTATCTTCACGCCTCAGATGGCCTTTTTTCTCTCTTAAACAGCTCTCCAGCCCGCCAAGAGGCAATGAACTTGGCCAACAGGAAGACAAAGAAGAGATTCAGGACTCAGCTTGTTCTCCCTTTGCCAGTAGCACAGAGGGATCCCCCAGCCCCAGGTCTGGAGCAGGCAGCTGGTTTTCTATGGCCAGAACTCAGCACCTGCTCTCGCCAGACCTAGCCATGTGGTGGCCTGCCATCCACGCTGTACCCCCCACCCTGGGGTGGGCAGCCTTGGACCACAGGACCAAGGGTGCTAGAGGCCTACAGATGGTCACTGGTCCTAGGGTCCCTCACGGGCTCTTAGGGGACCACACGGACAGGTCCAGGTGCCCACTGGGCTCAAACCAGAGCAGCTTCGCTTCTGCTGCTTTGTTTACGGTCTTCACCTTTAAATACTGACATTCGTTTTTAATTTCACAAGGAATACCTGATTATGTGATTTTAAAAAATATATAATTTTAGAATTATTGATAGTAGAGACAGGGTCTCACTATATTGCCCAGGCTGGTCTCAAACTGGTGAGCTCAAGTGATCCTCCAGCCCCCGCCTGCCAAAGTGCTGAGATTATAGGCATGAGCCACCAGGTCCAACTATGTTCTTATAAAAGTTAAACCATGAAATACAGATAGCATAGACCGCAGTCTCCTCCCATGTTTGGAAAGAGCTATGGTTATCATCTATCTGGGCCTCTATCCACACAGTCAGATGCACATATGATGCCCCAAGAAACTCCTGAGGATTGTCTGGTACCTTTTTTTTTTTTACATAAAAGATATCAGGGACTCCCCCCCCTTGATCTGGGGCCTGCTCGTATTTGAGCAAAGTTTGCTAGATACCTGGCTCTCCAACCTGCCTTCAACTTACAGGCAACGGAATGAGTATCTTCAAACAGTGCTTCTCCAAGTGCAGTGTGCATGCAAGTCACCTGCGGAGCTTATTAAAATGCAGATCGGATTCAGCAGGCCTGGCTGGAGCTGAGATTCTATATTTATAACAGCTCTCAGGCCAGATGCGGCCGTGGTCCTCAGGTCTGGCCCAGGCTCCCCTTGAGAACTTCCCAGAACTGTCTGCTCTCCTCTTGAGGCCCTTCGGACCCCCGCAGGCCTGGATCCCCCTCCGTTGATCCTTGCACCCTGGCCCCCAGCTCTCCAGCCAGCTGTCTGTCCTGGTCTCAGCAGAGAGATCCTTCCCTACTCTTGTAAGGCAGTCCCCCATTTGGTGTTTTCTTTCCCTGTTTCTGAATTTCAAATGGAAAGCT